TAACAAAAGCTGCTTTGAGGAGGCACTGCTGTGTACAGTCTGACACGACCTTCAGCCACTTCAAGTACAAAACAGACGGGTCTGTAAAGGTGGCACTCAGATAGTGCCGTGTTATACCTGTGTGCTGTATATAACTGTGTTATATACAAAGCAACAGTCTCAGAGCATCTGCAGAATTGTATTCCTGTCTGCAGGTGTACCACATACTGGGACTTGTACACACAGGCACGTGTACATGCACACACACACACAGGGCAAGCACAGACATAATTACGTACTAGCTCTCTCTCATCTACAGCTTGCTCTTTGTCCATGCAGCTGCCGTAACTGGAAGCAACACCACAGCGAGTGGTTCTGAAACTTTAGACCAATGTGCCATCTAGTGACAAAGCAGGTGAGCCTGAAAACCAAACTGTTTCTTCCACTTTATCTGAAATTGAAATCAGTGACTTGCGATGAGCCCACTTGAGTTCAGAAGAGATTTGTGTTTTCGTGCTTTTACTTTGTAGTGCAAGAACACTCTCCAGACTCCAGAAACTGGAGTTCCATAAAAACCTGTGCTTGCATTAGTATTGAGCAAATGCTGAGCCTGCAATGGACAGCTTTGTAGAAATTCTTATTTCCAGCCTCTCAAACTATGTTTAGTATCCATATTCTTAGAAAGTCCTCCATTTACAGTGGTCCAAGAACCTCCCAGGTATTCAAGAAGGTATATTGGACATAAGTAGTCCTTTCTTCTTTTTTCTGTCTGCACTTAGAACAGCTTGATTAGCTTATAATGGGGTTCATTTAAGTTTGAAAATGTACAATTGCCAGGAAATTCGTGGAGGAAAAGCAGATTAGGGAAGAGAGATTAATATTCTGTTCTGGAAAAATAAAAAGTGCTTAATTTAAAATATTAGAAAGAGGCGATCATTCAGCAGTGCAATATCATCATCTGCATTATATCTTTTTACTGTCAGGCATGGTTACAAGGAAGCTGACAGAAGGCCTTGAGTTTCTTTTTGCAATGTCACAGCCACATTCTAGAGCCAAGATATGAACAGCAGTGACCATCGTAACTATTTTGACTGGCACAAACTTAAGGTTGGACTAGACGATCTTTGAAGGTCTCTTCCAACTGGACTATTCTATTCACTGTAATTTCTTTTCTCAAGGACTGATAGGATGGGACTATCCAACAGCAGCATGTTAATAAAGCTGCTTTGAGAAGTATGCAGTTGGTATGCCTTATATACCTCATCACATTTGGGATCTCTCCTGGAAAGGACGCAGATCTGTGAACTTACAGCTGCTGAGGAATTTCAGACATTATTACAGCAAGTACCAGATACAACAGTAAAACAACTATACAACCTGTTGCACATGCGTATACTGTTATACAGTAGCAGAGGTCAGATTTCCTTTTATGTCTTATCATCTTTTCTTTCCCTTTTGGAAGCAACTTCGATAGCGCAGGTTCAGTAGTAACACCAGTATTCCCCTCTACATTCCTATTTTTGTAAAATGTGCATTCCCAGTAAAAAACAGTGACTCGATTTGAAGTTCTTCAGCTCACGGAGCACTACAAGTTGAAGAAATGCATGCCAAAAGCTTCCCAGGACACCAAGGACACCCTGGGTCAGAGCCTAGATGGTTTTGACCAACCTCCTCAAGTGGCCACCATGATTTCAACTACCCACAACTACAATACTACCAATGCTGCACAGAAGGAAGAGCAGAGCTCCTGCTGAGTTCAGCTGGAGTCTAATAGAGGAGTTTGGAGTCATTTGCATGTCTGATGGGTTTCTAATAGCTCCCAGATAGCACAGAAAAAGGTAATAATGGCAATAAACTACAGACTGAGTCAGGACAACTGCATCAGTAAGGATGAGGGAAAGTCACACCATGCAGGTCCCCAGCTTCCCTAAATCACACAGAATTAGAGCATCCCTGAAGAAGGTATTTTGCCCTGTCTGACTGGCAGCAATCCACAGAGCAGAGATTCTAGGCATCAGGCAGGCAGACACCGGGAACTAGGAGAATTATCTTCTTGCTTCTACTTCTGCCCACACTATTCAGTAGTGGGAGCTGAGCAGGACGGGCAGAGAAAGACTCTAAACTAGCTGTGGGGAAGAAGCAGCTGCAGCCCCACACCATCCAGCTTCCTCTGCTTTCACTCCCTCTCTTGTTTACCTCTACTCTGCTCCTTCTGTACCTCCTACATTGAATAGGAACAGTAGTGCAAGGAGCTTTCTACATTGTGCATGGCAGTGCTTCTCCCCCCTCAGTCCACTACCTACATTCATGTACTAGCTGCAAGCCCAAGTGATGTTTCTGTCCATTTCCCGCAGGACAGCTGGGGGCAGGGCATCATCCCACAAGGTACTCAAGCGGCCTAAATAGGTAACACCTGAGTTTTGCTGCACATTGCTACATAAGCAATTGATTTTACATCCAAGACTTCTTTTTAAAGAATTGTGCTCTGAGTCAAGCAAAGAAATTTTACGGATTCTAAAAGTTGAGAACAATCCTGCTACCAGCTGAAAAACTAGGCTGAGTCAGTCACTGTATCAGGTTTGATATTTATAAGCAAATCTGTGTGGCTGTATATAGGACAAGGGACAGTTCAGCCATCTGCCACACAGCTGGATGGCTGGTGTCACACGCTGGCTGATCTGAAGGCAGACAGGTGGAGCTCTCCTGGAGGAGAAGAAATGAGATGTGGGAGACAGAGAGAAGGGAACAAGTGTCAGTGCAGAGACATACAGCCTCCAGTCTTTTATAGCTTATGTCTGCTTTTTTATTTTCCTCAACCAATTTTAGTTGCAATTAGTATTGAACTCTGGGTATATTTATGTTGCAGAAGTGTAGAAATGATTCCACCAATATGCAGGTATTAAAGAATCTGGCCCAATCTGTTTATATTTTCCTAGAACAACAGCACCTTCCTTTGCCCTCTGGTGATGTCTAGAAGGTGACCGGAAGAGTTACCCATGCAGAGTTGAGACAGAAAAGCTTCTAGAAATAGCTGCTGAACAGCAGAAGTAGATGGCATGGAAAACAGAAAGCCTGAGTATCTGCTCTTCTTATCTAAGCCTGTGCTTATGAATGATCAAGAGGTATGAGACAGCCTGGTGTCTGTGCCAGTGCTGAAGACAGCACTTGTCTCATAGTCCATACCTAGTAAACAGCTGGGATAACCTTGCAAATGTTTAGAAAAACTCAGTATCAGTGGGGGCTGACACAGATAACATTTTGAGTTGATAGAGTATAGTGCAGGTACTTTAGTCTAGAATAATCAAACTGATTAAGCAGTTCTAATTCCTTGAATGGAACGAGCATCAGTGAAGGGAAAACAGCTGAAAATAAGCAGTGTGAACCCTTGGTTTAAATACGGGGAGGTTAAGTGATATAAATCTAATCACTTCACTCTGTAGTTCAGCTTTGTGCCTCAGTATAGTGTCACAGGATTCAGAGGTGAGCAGGAATTAAAGGGGAACAACAAAACACACACACCACACAAAGAACAGAAAATTAAAAATTACAAGTTCTTTTGATTAAAAGAAGAAAAAAAGACTTCATATCAGAAATCCTCATTTCAGACATGATTTCCCATGTTTTCTCTTAACCACATAGTTAATACATCTGCCATATTCCAGGCATCGACAGAATAAAAACAGATTTAAATCACAAGTTTGGAAGTACAATGAACTTATTTCATCTTCAGATGCCAGTCACATGTGAAATGAGTTTGAAGTGCTGAAGTCTTGTTTCCTTCCCCAACACCAGGAGCATACATCTATAGCCATTTGCAACCCAAGCTTGTGTACAAATTGTCACTGAAGTTCATTGGCAAAGCTTCAGGGAGTTGCTTGCAAGACATTATCTAGTTGTTTTGTTTCACAGATTACTCCCGTTAATGAAAAAATTTTGTTAAATAAGGCAAATGACTGTATTTAACATGAAAATAAATAGGATGAAAGATGAGAGAGGTTCTCTAGTCCTCAAGAAATTGATTCTTATGTGCACAAATCTGAAGAAATTGGCAGAAATCCATGGTGAATATGGGAAACAGAACTGAATACAAAGCAAAGTAAATTAATTGTCAGTTTACCTTGCGTGTCCAATGGCATACCACAGACAAAATTTGCAGTCACATACCCCAGTTATTTTTTACATCAGCCATTTATGTAGCCTCACCATTAATTATCTGTCTCTGAATTGCTATATTTGGTTGTTCAGTTGAGACATAAGAGCTGAAATTTAGAATGAGCTACTGGCATATTGCACTGTGAGTCAGGAGGTTGTTTTAATGCCATTTGAGAAAAGTCATGTTGTAGTTTGAGCTTTAATTTGATATCATTAACTGTACTCCATGACTAATGCCGAAATCCTAAGGGCTGTTTCTCATGGCCTCAAGCTTAATTCCCTAGTGATCTACTATCACATTATCCTCTCTGTCTTTTCTCAAGTGTGCATGAGAAATATAGAAGTTACAACATCAGCTTTAGTCCTTCTATTGTACCACGGAGAATTTCTATGGAGTTATAACCAAAAACCACCGTAACTTTCTTACACACCAATTTGTACTTATTTTTTCTAAACTCAGTAAAGTCTCACAGAACAGATGAGACAAGGAATAAAGTACCCCAGAGGTGACAAGGGTGCAATGCCCAGAATTAGATGGTGAGTTTACTCTAGTCACACTGTTCAGGAGCGCAAACATGAGTCGCAGGAATCAAAACCCACTGGTACCAGGACTGTAGAGCTTAGTATCAAACAGAAGAGAGATGTAGCTGTCCTGTTTGCATTTATCTGACAGAAAATGATCCCCTTCCAGGTGAAAGAAAGCCAGACAAGGAGACTGACCCAGTACTCTCATCTTCCCATATAAAACAGTATCCCTCACTCTCAGACCCTCCAGGCAGACATTCCTGCTGAACAAACCACAACATATCCAACCATTCTATGTATGCCGAAATGTGAAAGGAACACCAAACATTACTTTACATTTTTACCTTTTAATCTCATGGTCAGCAAATATCCTCACTGCACGCTTACAGCCTTTTCAGTTGAAATTCTTCCCTCTTCCACCTCTCAGAAGCGCACAAAAGCAGGGCAACCTGCATTGCTAGGACTTTGTTATGTGACTTGGCTGATGATGGGCAGCCTTCCTCCTAACCCAGGCTAAAGCAAGCCAGTCTTGCTTTAGCCCTTCCTGGCTGATCATTAACAGCAGCTGGCTCTTCACAGCTTCACTGGAATCAAGAAGAGTTGTTGTTCAACCCCCAGTAGCATCTGACTGTAGCAAGAATAATGTCACTATTGAATGGTCACTTTCACTATTTAATGGTCACTTTACATACTTAATGCATGATCTCTTCACACGTTGCACTGCTGAGATCACATAGCTCAACCTGCTTATTTGCAGTAGTTTATTAAAGCTAGCTCAAGCTAATTTAAACTAATTCTGCTTGGTCATTCCCCACCTAATAGCTGTTGTTCATCACTGCTCAGGTAACTCACACTCCTGGAAACAGTCAAATGCGACAGCCTACATTTTTCATTTACATTAATTTTTGAGAGCACAGTTATAGGTCATTGATTCACCTTCTGATGTAAATAATAATACATGTGGCTGAGAGCGTGACAAATCTGGAAACCAAGATAAGTGCCAACTGGCATTTTGCAGCAGTGGGTTAGCTTCTCACCACGAGCACTTAATTACATTGCTCAGCACAGCTGACACGTATTAATTCTTATTGATGTTCCCCTGGAAAACATTACAGAGAATTAGCGAGTAAGTACAGGCACAGAAGTACCAAGCTGAAATAGCTCTTCTCTCTCCTATAAGGCACCGGTGGGACAGAGTCTGTGACTGTACCTATCTAATGGATGCAGTGATGGAGGAAATGACTTGAACTCATGGGAGAAGTAGTTATCCTGAGCAGCTCTGGCGTGGGCTTTCTTAGAAGTGATGGGCTAGAGGAGAGGCCAGCAGCCAGAGAGGCAGCTGGAAATCAGGATGGGAAATTCCAGGAAAACAGAGCCCGAGCTGCCAACAAATGTGTCAAATAGAGACCTGCAGAGAGGAAATGTGTCAGATAAGAGAGGCTCCTTGTTAGCCACCTATATTATGTTCTGTCCCAACGTCCTATTCCTATTGCTGTTGTGGTCAACTCCATCACATTTGTGTCACACACACTGGATGATAAAATCAGGAAATCCATAGGTGCTCATGATTGATGTCAGGCTCACAACAAAACCAAAATAATCCTGATTAACTGATCATGTTGAGTGACAGCAGATGCAGGAGGAGGTCCAGTATATCTGGCATTCTCCTTGCTCAAACAGCTTTTCCCAACCTTCAGGACAAGGTGATGTCCCAGAGGCTGCCTGCCTCCTGGGACAGGCTCCTTTGTGTCTTCTGTCCTGCTTTTATGTGAATGAAATGAAGATCATTGGGTTCTTCATCTTTTTTGAGATATCACTGTCATCTTGGTTATTTAGCTCAGGAGTTAAAAAATAACAAATTAATTCAATTTCATTTATAGGCATAGAGACCAGCCTGGAAACATGCTATTGGCTGTCAATATTTGGCTCAGATTTATGATGCAGTGAAGTTGCAGGGTATAGGAATTATTGGCTTGCTAATAAATAAATAAATATTTTTAAAAATAAATAAATACCCTTAGAAGAGCCACTTCTCTTTCTCAGTGGGAAGGGCTCAGAGACCACCCTGCATTTGGCAGACACATCCAGAATTTGAGGACTGCAGAATTATTTACACCATCTCTATCTTGTGGAGAAGAAATGATTTATCTTGAATTCTGTTTTTAGAAAAAGCTCTTTAAAATCCACATGGAAATATATGGTCCCATTTTGCTCTTCAGAAGGCTGATTGATAATAAAGGAAAATAAATGAATAACTGGTACTATACTAAGTTGTATTTTCAAGCAACAGAAAGAAAATCAGTCAAGGAAAGCTCTCATGATTTTTAAGGCAGGTTTTACTTTTAGTTATCATCTCCTCCCATTACAAAACAATAATTATTAATTAATGTAGATCTAGGTACACAGAAAGTGCATTTTGCTGGAGACAGATTCAGTTACTGGTGGAAATCTGGTCCAACCCCTTTAGCTGTAGTGCAGTGGAGACAGGGAGCTTTGCTGGCTTACTGTGCTATGCAGCACTTCGCTGTGCGCTCCCCCTGCAGTTTTTGTGCTTCATCACTAGAGAGCAGCTGCTTGATAGTGCTTTGCACTGAATATCTGCCTTATGAAAGTATCTGCCCTACAGAGAAACTATAAAACAGCTCCTGGTGCTGTGCTCCACCTGCCAGCCACATTGCTATCCCTCTTTGTTGCCTGTGTGTGTAGCATTATTTGGCCAGTGTCCGATTAATTCCTTGCAATGGATTGATCAGAAACTGGTATTATGGTGTCTGGGGGAAAGAAAAAAAAAAAAACAACGACAGCACAGAACATAGAAAGTCTGTGAAGGTACCGAAGGGCCCATAAAGTGGTCTTCAATCAGATCTAAAGACAGTGACATTTATTTGAATGCATACGTATTCAGGACAGGAATTTCACAGTTAATGGCACAAGAAGCAATTTTTGGAGCAATCCTATGATGGATAAGGACCATAGAAATCAGTCAAATCCACATTTGTGTAGGTCATGGGAAATGTTTCATTTGCTCAGTTATGACGTTAATGTTAGGGATTTGATAACCAGATTATCAACTGTATTTTGACTCAAATTCTTTGCAAAGCACATTAAAATATTTCTAAAAATTTATTTTTAATTTCTTTATTAAAAAAAAAAAAAAATAGATCAGTACAAGCAGCCTAGAGAGGAGAAAGAGAAACTGCTGAGCAGCAGAGCACTGGGCACTGTGAGAGGCTGAGGGAGCACCTTGTCTCTCAGTGCTGAGCCTGCAAGTCAGTGCTGCTCGGTGACTAAAGCTTAGGGCTGCTGTACTCGTGGGTGCTTCAAAACTCTTCCTGTATGATGTTCAAATTCTTGGATTCCTCAGGAGAGCAAAAGGCTGTGATGGGAAGCTTTAAGCCCTCATAGTGCTGGGGCATGTGTGTAAAGGCACTAAATGGTCGCTCTCCAACCTGCATTTGCAACAGCTTGTAGCTGGGGATTTCAGTGTGGTAAAGGTCGGAAAGCATTCACTCATATGTAATGTATTTTTCTTACGAACATCTGTCAGCAGGCAAAAAAAAGTACCAAGAAAAGTAAATGGGCAATTTTTTTTATTTTTTTTTTTGTCATGCATGTATAGATCATGTACTGACATGGAAGGGATAAAAGTACTCCAGACGTTCAACTTCCCAGTCAGTCAAAGGAACACAAGAAAAAAATTAGAAATAAGATAGTGAATGTATAAACTTATCCAGAACGATTCATGTTATAGCTCTGACATGAGAACTTCATTTTCTTTTAATCTCTGAGGACCTTTGTAACAGCAAAGAATATTAAATTTGGAGATTAAGCAGCAACATGTGGCTGGTTCTGGTATCTCTGTGTAGCAATGGCCCTTTCCTCCTCTTTCATGTTTTTGAACCGTCTCAAGAGACTTCGCAAAGCCCTCGAGGCACTTCCTTCGTCTGCTCAAGCAGCCCTGTTTAAGAGCCTTCGTTTCACAGCTCTGTCACTGAGCTGAACATCTGCCCTCACTTTTGGGTTGCCAAAAGTTTCACTCATTCTAGGAAACAGATGTAATCATTTACTGAAGCTTTTGGAAGTGTTCAAAATATAATGAATACGGCCAGCGCCCTGCTTTTATCCTGTAGGGGAGGACTCACTCTTTTCCAGAGCTCTTGCTGGCATGTCACCCTAGCGTGTCTGTTGGACTCCTGTCCCTGTCCCACCACTGACACCCCCGCAGCTGCTTCAGCTGCCTGCCATGCCCGTGCCCGAGGTCTGCAGAACCACGGGAACGGCCCTGACAGCTCCTGCTGCCCTCACTGGTCCCAAACATGAATGTCTCAGAAAATGCAAAATGCCCCCCTACCCCTACCCCCTGGGTAAGGACAGCCTCCTCAGCACAGCCTGATTTTTTCCATGGAAATCTCTTGCCTTGCCTTGCCTTGCCTCACCGCGCCTTGGATTTACCTGAGGAATTGCTAGACCTGACTGTAATGCACTTTGGATTCCCCTGAGTCCATACATTATTTGTTCCAGCTTGGTTCATCTAGGTACCCTGTACCTGATCACAATTCCTTTTCCTTACGAATCCTGCTGCTGCTAACAGCAGCAGTGCTTTGTCTTTATGATCTGCTCTTCAGAGCTCAGTACAGTGGTTCATATCAGAGAGAAAATCAGGGAGACAAATGTAGTATACTTTTTGCTGAAATTGCCATTAAAGGAGAGAAGCAGGAGAGCCTGAGTGCTGGCATAGCCAGAGCCAGGAGGGGCCAGAGATAACCTGACCATCATGAAATGATCACTGGCTCTTCTGCCTCTCATTTCTCCTTTGATAGTGACGGTAATAAACCACAGACAGAACGTGGGATTATCCACTTAGCTCTGTTCTTCCCGACTCCTGAGTGAGATGAAAGCCTCAGCCACAATCCTGAGCCTTCAAGAAGAAATTAGGCAACTTGATCTTATTTCAAAGGACACCAGACTTAATGGGGCATGTGACCTTTCTCAAAACATCTTTGAATTACTGGTAAGTAGCAGTTTAACTAGAAAATTTTAGAGGCTTCAGAATTTTTTCTTCCAGAAGAATTCATGTGCTCAGCATGGTATTATCACCGTATTTATCTTTTTTTTTTATGAGAAGTTGACAAAGCGGGTGAATGGCTTTTAGATCTTTTCTGAGCAATATATACTGTAATTGCCAATATGTTTTTTGGTATCATGATCCTGTGGACATTTAACATACAAGAGCAATGAGGCCACAATCAGTAACTGAGGCTCAGGACAAGAGCCTTCCTACAGAACCCTCCTGCTGCATGCTGTCCTGCAGGGAAACTGGCTTGTGATTAACCATAGCGTTGTAAAAATATAATTGTTCATGTATTCCTGATAATGTTTGGACAATCAAACAAAAAGCAATTACTTGGATGTTTTTTACTTTGTGCTTCTTCCTATATATTGAAATGGAGTCACGACATTACATTACATTAGAAAACTAAAATGAACAGCAGCATCAGCACTGCAAAGCTGGTTAATAGGGTTTTGCTGGCAGCAGATCGAAAGCCGCAGGTATTGGTGGCTGAAAACTTCTATAGATATGATCTCCGTTAGCTCATTAAATCTTAAGATAAAAAAGATTAAAATATTTAAATATATGCACATAACCCAAGATAATTTGCATGGGAAATTACAGCACTTCATGCACATACAAACCATATAAATTCAAAGAAAACTGATACACATCATGGCATTCAGTGCTGTCTAATAGAGAGAAATAGGGAGAGGCCTGGAAAAAAGATTTGCTCGAGACTCATGAAAATGTCGAAGAAGCACAGCGCCGGGGATTAAGCGTGCAATGCTTGAAGTCTCTGGGTCTGCCAGGAGGAAGCAGCAGCTCCAAAGTGCCTTGCTGGCCGACCCGGGGGATTCCTCCAGCCCAGCAGCAGGGAGCACTGCCAGAAAGCCAGCAGGGGAAACGGCAGGGAGGGAGC